ATTTATATATATAAAAATATATAAAAATATAAAAAATATATATAAAAATATAAAAAAAAAAAATATATATATATATATATATATATATATATATATATATATATATATATATATATATATATATATATATATATATATATATATATATTAAAATTACAGTAAAACCGATTATTAATTTTGTATGTTTTGTACAAGGCTTATGGCCTCAGATTTGCAACACAATTGGATTCACAAATCCAATTTAAAAAATTTCAAACACGATTCAAAATACACAAATCCAATTCATGAATTCAAAACACGATTTAAAAATATGCAAATCCAATTAATAAATTTAAAACATTACTTAAAATACACAAATCCAATTCATGAATTCAAAACACGATTCAGAAATACACAAATCCAATTAAAAAATTCAAAACACAATTCAAAACTACACAAATCCAATAAAAAAAATTTCAAAACACGATTCATGAATTCAAAACAACATTTTAAATTATGTAAATTCTATTCATTTGGTGAAAATATTTATGATTTTTATCTGTGAATTCACAAATTGTGTTTACAAATTGGATTTTGTAAATGTGAATTTGGGCTTAATTTTATTTTGTAAATGTATTACTTTTGAGACTGATCTGGCTCTATACTATGAACGTGTTTCTTTGATTCATAACAAGGCTAAAAGATCACAACATTAAAAAAAAACTGAAAGGAACTAATTGTTTAAAACTTAAATTCCCACAAATCCACCCACGTTTCTGCTTCCATGCTGTCTTGTGCATGCCTGCATGTGTTTGTGTATGTGTGTCGCATTCAGCCACCTGTCAGCCCATTCTGCTGTTGATGTTTTAGGTTCCAGAACTGTAGGAGTGATCCATAAAACTGAGCCCCAGAGTCCAGTGCTCTTCACACTCGCTGCCGTTACTATGAGAGACGCGAAAAAGCAAAAAAAAAGCTGAAAAATCACAGCAAACAACAAGACTCTGGCCTATAATTAAAACCACATAATCTGTTTCAGCGTCTCTCTCACCTGCCTCATAATTAATACTTTCTCCGTCATTTCTTTTTATAGATCCACTTCCGCAACTGTCGATCTCTCATTTGGCCTTTTCCACTGTTGTTTTGATTTTCCCTTTCAGAGGCAGCCAGTGTTGTGTGTGTGAGAAAGAGCCAGTGTTTCACTTTACACTGCTATTAATAATGAAAACCCTCCATATCAAATCTGTTGTGTTCATAACCCCGTATAGCAGAGAGATGTAATAAAATCATGGCAGCAGTGGCCTAATGGTTAGAGAGTTGGAGTCCCAGCACTGGCACAGATTGTAGGTGAAGAGAGTGAATATTCGGCAACGGTTGAAGTGAGACACTTGAGCAAGGTAACAAAGTCCCCCACTGCTATAGGTGTGTGTTCGCGGGTGTAAGCTGTTTTGGATAAAAAGTTTCTGCTAAATGCTAAACTGTAAATGTAGAAGATAATACTAAACACAAAAGGTGAAAGTAAAAATAAAGCAAAATATATATAATATTAGTGGTGAATCTGCACTGTCTAAATTGAAAACACAGTATTTCAGCAAGGCAGTATTTGTTTGATAAAAAAAGTACTGTGAAATACCGTTGTTGTTGCTTTTTTATTGTATTTTAATACAATAGTGTATTTTAATACAATAAATGTACAATAATACAACAACTTAGTCCCTTTATTAATCCAGGGTTAATCCAGCCACAGCGGAATGAACCACAAACTTATCCAGCAAGTTTTTACGCAGCGGATGCCCTTCCAGCCGCAACCCATCTCTGGGAAACATCCACACAAACATTCACACACACTCATACACTACGGACAATTTAGCCTACCCAATTCACCTGTACCACATGTCTTTGGACTGTGGGGGAAACCGGAGCACCCGGAGGAAACCCACGCGAAGGCAGGGAGAACATGCAAACTCCACACAGAAACGCCAACTGAGCCGAGGTTCGAACCTTCTTGCTGTGAGGCCACAGCACTACCTATTGCGCCACTGCCTCGCCAGTAACTGATTCCAAGTTAGTAATTGCATTATTAAATTTGTATCTAAATGATTTTGTCTGAAAAATAACTAAATAATAACTCAATAATTCATTTAATAAGTCATTTAATTTCTTGGCTCAAAATGACTTAAAATCCATATACACCGGCCACTTTATTAGATACACCTTACTAGTACCGGGTTGGACCCCCTTTTGCCTTCAGAACTGCCTTAATCCTTTATGGCAACGATTCAACAAGTTATTGGAAATATTCCTCAGAGATTTTGGTCTATATTGACATGATAGCATCACGCAGTTGCTGTAGATTTATCAGCTGCACATCCATAGTGCAAATCTCCCATTCCACCACATCCCAAAGGTGCTCTATTGGATTGAAATCTGGTGACTGTGGAGGCCATTTGAGTACAGTGAACTCATGGTCATGTTCAAGAAACCAGTCTTATGATTCACGCTTTATGACATGATGCGTTATCCTGCTGGAAGTAGCCATCAGATGATGGGTACACTGTGGTGATAAAGGGATGGACATGGCCAGCAACAATACTCAGGTGGGCTCTGGAATTGACAAAATGATAAATTGGTACTAAAGGGCCCAAATTAAGTATCTCCAACACCATTACACCACCACCAGCCTAAACCGTTAATACAAGGCAGAATGGAGCAAAGCTTTCATGTTGTTGATGCCAAATTCTGACCCTACCATCTGAAAGCCATAGCAGAAATCGAGACTCAGACCGGGCAACATTTTACCAATCTTCTATTGTCCAATTTTGGTAAGCATGTGCAAATTGTAGCCTTAGTTTCCTGTTCTTAGCTGACAGGAGTGGCACCCGGTGTGGTCTTCTGCTGCTATAGTCCATCCGCCTCAAGGTTTGACTTGTGTGTTTAGAGATGCTCTTCCGCATACCTCGGTTGTAACGAGTGGTTATTTGAGTTCCTGTAGCCTTTCTATCAGCTCGAACCAGTCTGGCCATTCTCCTATTCATTATTATTTTATTTTATATTTTCCCCTAATATATTGTTTTAGGTGTACAAATTTTTACACTGTGATTTTAAGCATTTTTTAAGCTCCATTTTTAGCGTTGGTACAGGCTAATCTAATGTGTATGCACTAATATATTACTTTAAAGCATCTTATAGAAAATATTAACTTACAACAGAGATCTGTGAGAGCTGTACTCATTTATGCTTAGCACTCTATGTTATAACAGCAAATTAGATAAGGTCTAAACTACAGCATCATCATTGGGATAAGAGGAAATCAAGGTAAACTTGATTTTTGGTTTTAATGTCCTTGGTCAACATTTCAAATTCTGCTTGAGGGTACTACAGAATTCAAAAACAGAGACTCAAAATTATACAAATTTGGAATAAAGACATTTAAAGTACACACAGTTTTAAACAAAAGGATGTAAGAACAGCGAGGTCTCATTCATATTCATGCACTCTAATGCCCTACTTCCTCTATGGCATTATGGAAATTTAGTAAGACCCCCCGAAATATTGCATCAGGTCATTTATTATACTCATGTCACAACCAAATCACATTTTAAAGTCAAATGTGACAACTGACCTGCTGCAGAAGTAAGAAAAATAAAAAGGAAAAAGTCTTTCTGAAAATAATGATTTTTGCAAATTGTTTCTCTGAGGTGAAAATGCACAATGGCAGACCTTCACCTGTTCTGTTCTCTCCACTACAGTGTTACAATTACTGAAACACTCACGCTGGCTCACGGTGTCCAAGTACTTTTAAAATGAAAACCATTTGAGCACATTTCATTCAGAAGCTGATGGCTGTTCACAAAACCCACACAGTTAGCGCTAGTTTCCTTCTGTACAATCTTTCCATTGGTATGAACTATGATTGACAGCTCCACAAGTGCATTATTAATGCTTTAGAAAAACATCTCATTCTCACACGCAGCTCTGAAACATTTTGCACAGGCTGAACGTTAAAATCCCTCGCTTTTTACACTGCAGAACGTAGACAGATGCTAATTCCTTTTATCTCTTCAAGTTAATTGCATACGCTTTTTAATCAATGAAAATAGAACAGTTATTTTTACTGAAGCTTACAACTCTGGCTTTGCCTGTGATTTTTAATTCATTGTTTAAATGAATCCCGGAAAGCACTACTTGCATAAGACATTAATGTTTTATCGATGTCATAATATCTATGCATATTTTATGAAGGAGTTCCAGTCGGGTGTTGTAAACATATTGCATACAACACCTCGCCACTTCCCCAGACAATCTATTACATTGTTTGAGAGAGTTAATATTAAATGTCCAGTTGAGCACAATGGGAGATATTTAGTTGTTGGTAATGAAACAGTTGCTGGTCTTAGTTAAGCTTCATTCTTATAACAGAGGTTGTATTGAATAAATAAGTTGATAATAAATGATGAATTTTCCCCATTTATTAAAAAAAGTCCATTCTTCCATGTAAACTGTAGGAGAGTTTTTCAAAAGCTGCAAATCGTCCTAACTCCAAATTCTACTTGAAGATCAGAGGTCTAATGCTAGATTTGCAGTTTTTACAAACACCCGTCTGCCTAGCATGATACATCGCTGTATCCACTGTGATTCAGCTTCATTCATGTGGCTTAAGGGACAGGGGTCACCAAGTAAGTATAAGCTTGGGCAAAAGTCATTGGTCTGCAATATCTTTACAAGGTATTCATGCAGTCACAACAGAATGGGTCGTCTGACCAATCACAGCAGATGAGCCTCATGCAAAGGAGAGGTTTGATGTGCTGAGCAAATCATATTGGGGTCATTTGGATAATTAGGTACAAAGAAATGCATATTCTAAGACAATTAAAGTGTTTTTTGACCTTGCATGCATATCAGACTGTTGTTGGAGAACCCCAAAACCAAAATATGACCTTTTATAATGCGAAAAAGGGGATTTTTAAATGATGGATCTCAATCCTGGTCCTCGTGACCCCCTGCTCTGCACATTTGTATTGCTGTAAATTGCTAAAATAGCTCCCTATTCACTATTCCCTACACTATAGTCCAATTGAGGGAGTTAAAGTATTTTATAGTACATAATCATAATAAAAATTATCTTTTTATGCTTAAACTATTCTCGAATTACAGTTTGTGGAGTTTTGACAATCAGTAGTAATGAGCAAAAAATTATTTGTAATTGATGTACTTCGGGACATAAACTATAGATACAAGTTTTGGGACATCCCTCCAAATCATTTATGAGGTGTTTCAGTGACTTCCATTGTCACAGGTTTATAAAATCAAGCATTTACGCATTTATCCAAACTGCTTCTTTGAATATTTGTGGAAAAATGGGTCACTCTTGGGAACTCAAGCATGGTACAGTGATTGTGGAGTCAGATCAAAGTTTCAGTATAGTTATACCAAGGCACTGATTAAATCAGCATACTATTGTCTCAAAAACATTGCAAAAATTACAATAAATGCTTTGTTTCCAGTGAGGACTTAGAGAAACGTGCTCATGCTTTTATCAGCAGCAGGGTGGATTACTGTGTTGGACTCTTCATGGGCTTTCCCAAAAAGACAGTCAGACAGTTGCAGCTCATCCAGAACCCTGCTGCCAGGATTCTTACCAGAACCAGAAAATCAGAGCACATCACATCTGTCCTCAGGTCTTTACACTGGCTCCCAGTTACATTCAGAATAGATTTTGATGTATTATTACTTGTCTATAAATCACTAAATGGCTTAGGACCTCAATACATTACAGATATGCTCTCTAAATACAAACCTAACAGATCACTCAGATCATTAAAATCAAGTAAATTAGAAATTCCAAGAGTTCAGTCAAAGCAGAGCAAATCCACTTTCAGCTATTACACTGCCAGCTGTTGTATCAGCTTCCAACACTAGGCACATTCAAATCAAGACTTAATGCA